GGCCGAAGGCCGCCTACGCAGAAAGAAGTTGTGCGCAAAAATACTTCTGGCCCCCTTTTCCGGCAACACAGAAAGGAGAATTCTACTTAGTAAGGGATATAATCCCTAAGCGCGGCCGTAGGCCGCCTACGCAGAAAGAAGTTCTACGCAAAAATATTTCCGGCCCCCTTTTCCATCTACACAGAAAGGAGAATTCTACTTAGTAAGGGATATAATCCCTAAGCGGGGCCGTAGGCCGCCGACGCAGAGCGAAGTTCTGCCCAAAAATACTTCCGTACCCTCTTTTCCGGCAACACAGATAGGAGAGTTCTACTTAGTAAGGGTTTTAATCCCCAAGCGCGGCCGAAGGCCGCCTACGCGGAGAGAAGTTCGTTTTCATGTATGCACTATTTCGGTTTTTGTCATATGCATTATTTCGGTTTTGAGTCGAAACTGTGCATGAATGCACTTTTTTTTCATATGCATTGTTTCGGTTTTGAGTCGAAACTGTGCATTGTATGCATTACTTCGTTTTTCTCATATGCGTTATTTCGGTTTTCAAACGAAAGTGTGCATGTATGCATTATTTCGGTTTTTTCATATGCGTTATTTCGATTTTCAACCGAATCTGTGCATATATGCATTATTTCGGTTTTTTTTCATATGCATTTCGGATTTCAAACGAAAGAGTGCATATGCATAATTTCGGTTTTTCTAATATGCATTACTGCGGTTTCCAACCGAAACTGTGCATACAGATGCGTGCAACTAATTAGCAACGAAATTCAAAACGATATTGCTTGCAAATTATGTTTATTTATTTATTTTTAATAATTTTCATTTAAAATATAATTCAATCTATAACAGAAACCACAATAACAAAATTTGCAAAGCTTGCACAAATTGTAAAAAAATTAATCAAACTTAAAAAAATCGTCAGAAAAATTTCAAAATTTTTAATTAGAATATATAGAAAATGTTGGGGTATGCAGTTTTGTAGCCCATTCAATTTTAGTATAATAAAGTGGAAGTTTCAAGTCGCTAAAAATTACCGTTGATTTTTTAGAATTTTTTTTGTGGAGGGTGTTGCGCATTTTCTTCCATATAACACATGATCAAAATATTTTTTTACATGGAAAAAAATCCGCAACACCCTCGACAAAAAAATTCTAAAAAATCAACGGTAATCTTTAGCGACTTGAAACTTCCACCTTATTATACTAAAATTGAATGGGCTACAAAACTGCATACCCCAACATTTTCTAAATAGTCTAATTAAAAATTTTAAAATTTTGGTGACAATTTTTTGAAGTTTGATAAATTTCTTTGCAATTTGTGCAAGCTTTGCAACTTTTGTTATGGTGGTTTCTGATATAGATTGAATTATATTTTAAATGAAAATTATTAAAAATAAATAAATAAACATAATTTGCAAGCAATATCGTTTTGAATTTCGTTGCTAATTAGTTGCACGCATCTGTATATGCATTATTTCGGTTTTTTCATATGCATTATTTCGGTTTTCAACCGAAACTGTGCATATATGCATTATTTCGGTTTTTTTCGTATGCATTATTTCGGTTTTGTTCATATGCATTATTTCGTATGCACAGTTTCCATATGCACAATTTCAGGGTGCCATTTTAAGTTAGAAAAATATAACTGAATAATAGTTATTAAAATCAATATATTTGATCGACAAAATAAAAATTAAGTAATAATAATTTCTTTTGAGCGAAAAAATTAAACTGTAATTACACTGGTTTACAGAAAAAGTATTTTATTGATGCAAGCTTCATTTAACTGGTGTGGGGTCCACTGATATATGCATGTATTGGAAATAGTACCCAATAAGTAGTAAAAATAATCCTAATCTTTTCGCCCTTTTTCTACTACCCCAAAATGCATGGCCTCAATTGGCATGCAGAAAAAGTGGGGTTATGTAAGTGACATCACCTTATATTTATTTCACCATGGTTATTACTCAAAATTATATTTTTATTTCTGAGCATTGCTAGAAATTTAAAAATTTATTTTTTACTTTGCTTTTGTGCTGCTCCCTACTTGCTCCTTTGGGGGCCATTCCTGGCAGTGCGCCTTTTCACACATGTTGCGCAACATTATTGGGTACATTGTAGAGGTACAAATAGGCATTTGTGTGGGGGGGATATTTGAGTGGGGATATTTGTTGCATCAGTTACTTGCCACCTACTACATACGCTGTCGTTACACCTATTTTCCACCACGCCTTGAGAATTGCAAATACCTCAGCCTGGAAGGTCAATTTTGGAGCCATCAGTGAAGATTCGATTATGTGTGAATTCGGGCCCAGTGCTGGTATTAAACCAGCATTCAGCCTCAGGGAACTCAACATTATAGAATCTCTAAAACAAAGGTAGTGGTGGCGTACTATCCTGTGGCATTGAAAATACGCAAGTGCTCAGATCTCTGCCGCTAGCAATTTCCGCCTAGCCCCCCCAGTATTATACCGGCATTCGTTTCTTTCTAGTCTGCAGGTGGCCTTTAAGGCTTCCCTACGTATGAAGAAACAAAGAGGCGGTAAGTACAGCAGTGCATCCAGAGCAGCGCCACGTCTTGTAGAGAAAGCTTCCGTACAGCACACGGCAGTAGTTCTTTGAAGTTTTGCAAGCAGTCTTCCCCTGCTCTTGATTGAGAATCTGATCCACCATACCACTGACGCATAGCTAATTATGGGTCAGAGGTATAAATCCAGAGGATTACCTAGGGCGACACACCCCACGTTTTGCCAAAGATCTGATTACTTTGCCAAAATGCTGCCAATTCTTTAGAGATTTTATGTTTCACGTTAGATTTCCACGATAGTTTTGTATACAGAATTAATTCTAGATACTTCACTTCGGGAGAATTCTGAATTTTTCGGACTTTAAAAAAAAGAGTTTTGTTACGTAAATATATTTATTTTGTTAAAATACAATGAAAAAATGCTTTCTAATAAATAATGTTTCAAAACAGGATTTTATTTTATTTCTTCATCTCTGCACATCGATATTATTCAAAGGATATTTTAAACGATTGGGAAAAACGTTCAAATTTGAGTATCGAACACATCAACTTGCTATTTTTTAATGTAAATTTTACTCTTTTATTAAACCCCAAATATTTAAAAGAAAATCTTCCCTCTCAAAAAATTTCAATGTGGTAAAGCTATGCCTATGTAAAAAATCTGCTTTATAATAAAAAAATAGTAGTAACGAAACTACCTTCTTTTTTGTAACATGTGTCCACGTATTTTTTTAAACAAACCTTCTGCAGAGAACTTATTTAATTTGCAAAAGCCAAAAAATAAACATTTGCTTAGTAAACAATTTAAAAATTTTTATAGCTCACTTTATTTCAAACGTTTTTTCGTTTGTCGTTGAAAAAATTATAAAAATTAAATTGAGTGAAAACCAAAAGCAAAGCCAACTAAAAGTAAAAGAATCGAACATTGAAATGCGTCAAAATGAAAATAAGGGAGCACGATTTTCGATGTGAAGCACAACTCTCTGCGAAGACAATACCTGTAATGATTGTTCCATGCTATAAGCCCAACCCATGATACAAAACTTGAAGGTAGAAACGCTGAGAGGCAGCCTGAACATTTTTGAAGTTGCTAACATAACACAAATGTTTTAAAGTTTTCAATCTCACAAGCAAATTCTCACTTTCAGTTTCAAATAAAAGAAAATTTTGAAATTTTCGTCTATTTGTTTTTTGTTTTACTTTTATTTGGCATTTGAGTTACTCTCATAATTTCAATTTTATAAAGTAGACAAACTTCAAAAAAGAAATGATGGCCGACGAATTGAGCGAGCGGTTTTACCTTTAAATATTTATATCATGGCCCAACCGGTTTTTTTTATCAACTGTCACCATGACTTTTTCTACCTGTCTCCATATATTCCACGGTGAATTTAAGTAAGGTGGTGTTTCATCAGCTGTGAGAAGCGTTTGATTATGAAAACTTTGTATTTCGCTAGTGAGTGAGTGAAAAGGGACAGTGTTCGTATTTCTTGACCCCCTTTTTAATTCTGGGAAGAATAGCTGAAACTTACCAATGGAACGCTAAAAGCAAAAGAAAATACAAGTAATTTTTGTATTTGTTGAATCGATATCACCTTATATGAATTTGCCTTGATATAGTCGAAACACTGTGCGACGGGCTTTTGATCCTGAAGAAGGCAAATACAACAATCCCATGTATTTTGTATTGCGGGTATTATGTCTAGATCTCAATTCGCCCCAACATTTACATGTATTTTGTTTTTTGATGTGTTTGCTGTCAAATCAGTAAAATCAATAACAAAATACATGTAAGGCGAAGAAACCAGCTGATCTAACAACACCACCTTGTACAAATTCATGATGCAATAACACAAGGTATTATCGGTTGGCAACTTCTCGCTCTAACTCCGCCATATTGACTGCCTTAGGTGAAGCAGTGTTACTTCTTTAACAATTCTTTGCCTAATAATATAGCTGAATTCTTTTTTTCTCAGTATACACATTTTGTTTTCTCAAAAAGGTATTTTATCTTATTTTATTTCATTTCATTACGAATGTACTATAAAAAAGCAAATTTTGTTTAGAAGGAAATATGAAATTTTATATTTATTCACGAAATGGGGATTAATTTCCCCCCCGTTTTTCTTCTTATTCTACTAAGCTAAGGCAGTGTCGAATCGAGCTGTCACAACTGATACCACCTTTTATTATTGCATCATGGTATAAATTCGCCTTGATCCGCAAGTTGAAGAGAATAAATCGTTTATTTGTTGAGCAGTGTTATCGCCGACAATAATGATTTAATTTTATAAAAATCATATGATCACATGATTTGTATATTAGTACGGATTTGTACATTTTGAGACTTGCAGAGAGGACTGCCAAAATGCACAAATCTGTACAAATTTACAATTCGTGTGATCCCTTCTTTATACATGAGTTTACACGGTTACACACTTTTGAGCACGGGCTTATATGAATCGGTCCTAGTATGCGCCGTACTGAAAGTGCACTTACCGCAGCTCGCCAGTCGCCCCGACCTTGCTGTGAGCCACCCGCCGCAATTCTAGTGCCCTTACCTCCGCTGTTGTTGTTGTTGTAACAGTATACAAATTGCCCAAAGAGTTTTTGGGGAGTATTGCTCGAGTGGCAGGTCTTGGCCAAATATAAATCTGGGTCGTACCGGTTACGTAGACCCGACTGTCGTGTGAACCCCCTTAACGCCGTTCACCAATTGCCCCGATCCGGTCTCTCTCATTCCCACGACAGCCGGTTCTACGTACCGGAATCACTCGGGTTTTACTCGACAAGGGCTGTTGTTTCGGCGATCTAACCCTGTCCATAGGGCTACATTTGCTACGTATTCTTTTGCTCGGGGCTGGCATCAAGCTGACCCTGCGCTCCTCAGAGGTGAAAACCGTATGGTAGTAAGTGACTTCAATGCGCACCACGATCTATGGCACTGAAGCCTGTCAAACGATCGTAGGGGAACAGATTTGGCTGAGCAGATAGACGATTCGACATTCTGCACAATGAACGACGACGCACTCACCAGGATTATGGGCAGCTGCTGCAGTTCGCCAGACATAATAATAGTCAGCGCTGGTCTGATAAACAGCATATCATGGCGACCTATGCTGACTTTGGCATCAGACCATCTGCCCATAGTCATCTCGATCGATAAACCGAGTTTGCTTCCGCGGAACACCGGACTTATATTAACTTTTCTAAAGCTGATTGGAAAGGCATCGCGGAATTTACTGAGAGCACCTTCGCTGCGCTCCCCACACCAACCGACGTCTACCTTGGTGAACGTAAGTTCCGCAGGGTTGTCACTGCTGCTGCAGCTCGCTTCGTACCGGCTGAAGCGGCTGTTTTAGCCGATGAGCGTGACAGCCTTCGGCAGGCCGATCCCGGAAATCCCCGTACCAGGGATCCCAACGCGGAGATTCGGCAACTAGTGAACGTACATAAGCGGAAGAAGTGGGAAGAGCATCTGAAGACTTGTAACTTCACCTCTGGTGTGAGTAAGCTTTGGTAAACCGTGAGGTCCCTGTCCAAACCGACGAAGCACGACGACAGGGTCGAAATTTCTTTCGGTGACCATGCTTCGTCGGGCCCGGAGCGATGCGCGAGCTATTTTGCTAGCAGTTCATACTGCATCCTGCGGTGGACAAAGCCAAGCGTCGAGTGAGCAGAAGGCTGCACAAACTGCCAACAACTTGTGCCCCCCTTGCTTTCACTAGCGGTGAAGTTCAGGTGGCCGTCGGGAAGGCGAAAGCCTCCAAAGCCATGGGTCCCGACGGAATATGCATGTTGATGCTGAAAAATTTGGATCCTGCGGGAGTAGCGTACCTCCAATATGTCTATGGCCACTCTCATCATCCCAGACAGCTGGAACCCAGCAAACATTGAGGTTAGCTATCGATTAGAGAATGATTGGAGAACTAGCCACATTCTCCAATCTCAAACGTTAGAGAACGACTCGAAAAACTGTCGAGAATCATAGCGATCTCAACATAAATGGGACATAGTTCTCGACTCGAGAAAATATGAATTCTCCAATCGAATTCTAATGTTGATATATAACGGGATTCGAATGTGAATTTCAAACTGCTGTTTCTCTTTGTTAAATAAAGTTATAAATAAAAAATAAAAAATTGTTTGCAAAATATTTATTAAATGTATTCGCAATAAAATAATAATGAATTATTTGAGCTTAAAAATAGTTTATAATTCATTAATTTGCAATATTGCTTATTTATTTTATTTGAATTTGCATTGTTTCTCTAATTGTTCTCGAATCGAATTCTAATGTAGTTCTCTAACTTCGTTATCGGCCCGGGAACGATTAGAGAATTACCCTAGTTATCTAATGCAGAAATCCAAATCTCTCTAACGCTAGAGACTG